CCACACCCCCACCCCCCTCCATGGGTGACATCACATCACTGACATCACATCAGATCACCTGTGTGTGTATGATGTCATCCCCCCTCCGCCCAGGTTCAGCTCCGCCCACTTTTATGACACACCAGAGCATGACCGCTCCAACCCAGGATCTGTACCACATCGGGTCCACGGGCCGGAGATCCACCACGAGGTCCAGTCCAGACCATGGTAGACCAGGTGACTCCCCTCAGAGGAGCAGACATGAACGAGGAGACACCAGGTGATTATGGGTAATTACTGATCTGAGACTCAAAGAAAGTGAGTGATGTGTTTATGACGGCTGGAAATCAGAGAGGAATGTCTGAGGACAGGTGTGCTCTGATTGGCTGAGAGGTAGTCGGCAAAAAAACAAGGTCGCTGAGATAGAAACATCTAAAGATCATCTTCATCTTCATCTTCATCTTCATCATCTTCATCATCATCTTCATCGCTGAAAACGCGCTCACGAGGCGTATAAACGCTCCAAATGAGGGGGCGTGGTCACTGGAGCGGACAGAGCTGTGATTGGCTGACCGCTCTGTCACTCCAGCAGCTGTAGATCAGAAGAGAAGGAGAGAAATGAGAAAAATGAGGAAAAAAAAGTCTTATTTGGAGTCAGTCTGTGAGAGAGCAGCGTCACACTGGGGGGGCGGGGGAGCGTGTGTGTGTGTGTGCGTGTGTGTGTGTGTGTGTGACCTGTCATTAAAGCCATTCACGGACGCTGCTCGGTTTAGCGCAGATGTGCGTGAGTCCAGAGCGCAATTACGCACACACCCTCCTCTCATCCACCTTCCACACCCCCGCTCTGTCTCCCTCTCTCTCTCTGTCTCACCCCCCCCCCCCAACACCACCAAACACCCACACACACTCCCTCTCTCCTGTCGTGAGAGAAAGTAACGAAGCGGAGGAGAAGAGAGAGAGAGAGAGAGAGACAGAGAGAGAGAGAGTGAGTGCTGGTTCCAGGTCTCTCTCCGCTCCTCTCTCCACTTCACCCACTCTGGCTCAATGGCACTTTAGCACCAGGAGTTCACCGTTCAAATAAAAAACTTTTTATTCGTTTCCAGTTCCAGACTCCTGCTCGGGCCGCGGGTTTCTGAGCCTCAGCACGGACGGTTCTCACAGACGGTCCGGTCGGTTCTTCTGTTCGGCTGCCTGTCTGTCTGTGAGTACAGAGGAGGAGAAACCTCCAGCTCCTCCAGCTCCTCCAGCTCCTCCAGCTCCTCCAAGACTATGGATTGCGGAGCGTGTCCCTTCAGGAAGAAGCGGAGACCGTGGAGCACGGACTTGTCCTCCCTGGCTCTGGTCGCCGTGCTCCTCTCCCTGTGCCGAAGCTCCGGGGTTCGAGCAGGTAAGAAGAGCGTTCTCCTCCCTGTCACCTCCTCAGCTCCTTCTTCCTGTGTCGGTGGGCTAAACCTCTGGTTCTGTTTGGGACCTGATTAGGAATTTGTGTCAACAAACAATTTTCATTTTAATGGTTTGATTGGAAACAAAAACGATCGAGGAAAATCAGACGAGGATCCACCTGTCGGTGGTTCTTCTTCTTCTTCTTCTTCTTTTGTGATTAGCTGTTGGAACAAAACAAAAACGTGCCGACGTCACAGCAAGAAGAAGAAGAAGAAGAAGAAGAAGAAGAAGAAGAAGAAGAAGAAGAAGAAGAAGAAGAAGAAGAAGAAGAAGTCAGGTGTCGCCTCAGCAGGAGATTTAAACACCAACTTCAGAATTCTTTTTTTTTTTTTTCACACTCTGGGGTCAGGTGTCTGACAGTGTGGTGCTCAACACAGAGGTCGGGGGCCACAGCGGGGACACATGACATATGGTTCCGTTGAGGTTCTCCAGTGCTGGTCCGAGGTCCCACAGACGGACCGAGGTCGACTCACTGTTTACCAGCTCAGCCTGTGCAGCCGTTTCTGCGGGGAGGAGGGATTTCTGCCCCCCCCACCAGAGGGTGGCGTGAGGAGGGGGAACTCTCTGATAACATTTTTTTAAAAATATTGAATCAGAAAATCAAACTTTTATATTCTCTGTTTAAAACCCACTCTGTTCTCACCTGAGCTGCAGTTCCACTGCAGCACCACTAGAGGTCCAGACTTGATTTGAACACAGTGATTCCATTGATTGACCTGAGTCCAGATCAGTGAGGACCCCTGGGTCAGGGGGGTCAGGGGGGTCAGGGGGGTCAGGGGGGTCCAGGGTCTTGGACAGTACAGTTCTCTTTTTTTTTTTTTCATCTGATAACGTTCTGATGACGTCACTCTGAACGGACCACAGAACCACAGACCCGCTCCTCTCACCCTGCACTGTGATCTTTGGCTCAGTGTCAGTGTGTGTGTGTGTGTGTGTGTGTGTGTGTGTGAGCAGAGAGGTGAAAGCGCTCAGTGTGTGTGTTAATGTGTGCTTTGTGCACTTGTGTTTGTGTAAGTTTGCTGTTTCTGCCATACTGAGGTGTGTGTGGGTGAGGAGGGGGGAGAGGGGGAGGAGGAGGGGTCTGTGAGGAGCAGCAGCAGCAGCAGCAGCCACAGGCCGAGTGCCGGGAGGA